AGAGAGAGAGAGAGAGAGAGAGAGAGAGAGAGAGAGAGAGAGAGAGAACAAAGAGGAAGGAAGAGCTTCCAGGACACAGGTAGAGCAAGGCTTCTTAGGTTTTTTCCTAGTTGGAAGTCCTTTTGCCTGAGTTTACCTGATCCTGGGTATACAGGTGTATTCTTTACTAGTCTCATTGCCATAACCAGATATCCAACAAGAAGCAATTAGAAGACAGAGGCTGTTGTTTGGCTTTTGGTTTAGGAAGGAACACTGCCCACCATGGTGCTGAAGGAGAGGCAGGGAAAGAGGGAATGAGTCACACGGTGTCTGCAGAAAGACAGAGAGAGGCAGGAGTTCGGACTGGGTTCTATAGCTCCAGAGCCCCATCCGTGACACCCCAGTGAGACTCTGCCTCCTGCCCAGCACTCCCAGCGACCAAGAGTTCACACCTACGCGTCTGTGAGGGACACCTCACATTTCACCATAGCAGGCATCTAAACCAGATATGTAAATTACAGGTTTATAGTAATAACTCACGAATTTGTTTTAAAACAATTATTTATTACACATAATTTTACTATTAAGATGAAATCATTAATTCTTGACTGAATAGTTGATGCTGCAGAATGTGGAACATTTTCAGTGTTTTTACAGAATTGATTGAAGCTTAGATTTTACAGTTGTCAGTGCTGAGGCTGTCTAGTCACTTGAATAGTTAGTACAAAGTAGTAGTATGATTTAGGATCATTTCAAAAATTGTCGGAAATCCCGACCTAAGCCTAATTAAAAATTCACTTGACAATTTTTCTGTGAAACTCAAGTTAACAACTCCAATAGCAGTGTTTGCAAGCGAACATTCTAACATAATACAAAACAAACATAGAGTAATTTTGTACTTATGTGCTGAGTAGGTGGTGGCATGTTACGTGGCATAGAGTATTTGGAAGAATTAGGTAATGCTCAACTCTGGCAGATATTAATTGCTGGATCTTGGAGGGATAAATGCCTCACCCATGAGGAAGTCCTCTGTATGTTCAGCTTCGTGTGCTGCAGTAGGATGAGTAGGTAAGAACCTTAGGACAGCCTTAGACATGTCCCATGCAAACCCCACTTGAGAGCTGCGGAAAGCGCAGGCTAGAGCAGCTGGCTGCAGAAGCAGGCCGCTTGGGAGATGCACTTTTCCCTGTGTCTGTTATTTGCCCAGTGTTGATGATTTCCTGCTCCCGCTTCCTTTACTCTATCTGGGCTACAGAGAGCCCTTGAAAGTAGACAGATGACTCACACGGTGGCTGCTGAGCTGGGGGAGGGTGTTTGCACTCCAGTGATGTCCCCTGTCACTCAGCACACCATGTGGGCGTTTCAGTGAATTCCGAAAGAGTGAATTCAAATGGACCTTATGGTAATAAAGTCCATTATTTATTAGAATAAGAAAGGAGACAGCTGATTTTGTGATATTTTACCCACCTGGACTCATCTATCCAGAGCACAGCTGAGCACCAAGAACTTATAAAAAGTAATTCAAACCACCAAAATAGACAGCGTCTAGGCTTTGTCCACAGATGCAGCCATTCATGGCCTGTCTACACTCATCTCGAAGCCCTGGACATCTGGTTTCTAAACTGATCTGTGGGTTTTAAAACTGAAAATTCAAAGAGGAGGAGGAACGAAGTCTAAAAAGAACGGCCTCGGTAACGAGACGATTAAAGGGACGGCGAATACCTTTAAAGGGAGGGAGAAATAAAGCAGAAATGCAGACGAGGAGACATACTCATTCAGCAAGGATCGCCCTCTGCTTCCTTTAGAATGAACTGCGCTGGGCGGGTGGGGTGTTTGCAGTGTGTGGTGTTGGAACTCTGCAGCTTGCACTGTGCATTTGGTGACTTCAGCGCATCCAAGAGTGGACGCTTCTGTGCCCAGCCTGGTGATAACCTCTAGATAGAAAGATCAGCTGCTACTTTCTGCTTTTAGGGGAAGGGAGAGTGTCTCTGTCAATTCTAGAGTTATGGAAGTTGTTTACAGTGTACTTCATGTTAACTGAGGTAATATTGTATCCTTCTGGGGTCTTTGATGGAGTTGAAGAACAGATTGTTAGTTATACTTTTCCTTAGTTATGATAAAAGATAAATTAGATATAAAGCTTTAGGCTCACAAATATAGATGATAGAGTATTTTCCTTAGATTGCCAAATGTAAATGAACTAAATATTGTAACTATAATTCTTGTTTGACAACTATTTTGTTGTATGTAATCTTGCCATTTAAAGTTAAAAACCTTCCTTTTTATTTAGAGGGAAAAGGGGAGGTAATGTGGGATTCCCTTCTGTATGCTGTGAATATGTCTTATTACCTTTGGATAATAAAGAATCTACTTTGGGCCTGTGGCAGTGCAAAATAGAGCAAGGCAGGAATTCCAAGAAGAGATAGAGGAGGAAAAGAAGGTGGAGTCAGGGAGACACCTTGTAGCTGCCCAAGGAGACAGATGCCCCAGAACCCTACCGGTAAACCACAAGCCTCATGATAAGATATAAAATAATAGGAATGGGTTAATTTAAGATGTGAGAGTTAGTTAATAAGAAGCCTAAGCTAATAGGCCAACCAGTGTTGCAATTAATATTGTTTCTGTGTAATTATTTGGGCCTGGGCAGCTGGGAACAAACAAGCAGCCTCCACCTACAGGGGAGCATATAGTAGCTCTTTTAATATGTCTAAGGCTGAGGGGCCAAGGACAAGCCTCAGTCAGGGAAGTGCCTACCATGCAAGCGTGAGGACACAGGTTCAGATCCCTGCCATGCATATAGAATTGCTAGGTAGCAGTGTGCATCTGAAACCCATGGCGAGGGTAGCAGTCACTGGCCGATTCCTGAGGGACCATTGGCTATCCTAGCAGAATGAGTGAGCCCCAGGCTCAGTAAGGTATCCCACAAGGGTTAGCGTGATGAAGGGTTATGCCTGACCCTTACCTCTGGCCTTCATGTTAAAGCCTCTACTGCTACTCTGTGAAAGATGCCACTCAGTTCTGACTCACCAAAAGACTGACCTTGTTTTCCTGAATAGGAAAAGCACATAGGTAGGAAATCTCAATTTCTGTTATAAAAAAGTTGCCATTACTTTATTAGCAGTAAGTTCTTGTAGCGCTTTATAAATAATGTTTATGTCTGGTACTCATTTATGAAAATATTAGCTTTCTGCTCTCCAGAAACACATCTGAGTGCACATCTGTGGCGCTGCATGTCTGCACCTCTCCTTTGCAATTTATGACATTATCATTTAATTTGCTAGATCTCAATTTGCTGAACATAAAGCATGTTGTTATGTTTACAGCTCCTTGGACATAGAGGTTCCCAGTAAAGGTTTATTGGGTGACTAATAATGAGACAAATTATACCAAACTTTCTAATTACTCCTTTATTAACCATATAAATACTTTTCACAGTCTTTCTCCTCGTTTTCGAGTACGTACTAAGACTTTTATAGGGTTTAAACTGCATCTGACTGGAACCGTCAGAGCATGTGGAGCCTTCCCTGGCTTTGCCGTTCGTTCCCGGCCTGAGCTCCAGGGCAGGTGCTGTGTACCGTGGACCTGTTGTTGGCTTCAGCGAGGCTCCCAGTGTCGGGTGAGTCTCTGGCAGACAGTGCTCACTCTGTCGTTGGTTCCAGGGGACCGTGGAAGAGGTCACGACCACAACTGCGTACCTGGACCTTTTCCTGCGCAGCGTCTCCGCGCCAGCACTGCTGGGGGCCTTCCTCCGCTTCATCCTACTGCACCAGCACGAAAATGTCCACATCCTGGACACGCTCACCAGCCGGATCAACACCCCTTTCCGGGTAAGGAGAGCTTCCGGGGAAGGAAATTGTGACTAGCTCCTCCCTCCCTTCCCACTTCGTCCTGCAGCTGTTATTCTCTGTCTATTCGAGTAGAGATAATTCGATGACGTTTTTCCCTACCAGGTGTCCCTTTGTTAGGGAGGTGGCACTATGTCACCCCCCCCCCACACACTCCCAATTTTCTCGCTTTGTCTATGTTGATGCTTTCTTCTGTGGAACTGGCAACATGTACTTCTGAAGAAACAAGATTCTGAGAACGTGAAGATTTAGGTGCAGGGAAAGCCAGGGATCTGGAGGACCAGGGCCAGAGGTAGCAAATCTCTGTCTGTGGTGTTTTGAAGTGGAAAATCTCGGAAATTGTGGAGTTAGGTTTTCATTCTTCCATTTAGAGTCTACTCAGCTTCAAAGATCCAATGCTAAGAGTAGCAGCCCCCCCCCACCGCAGCCCTTCTTCAAAGACTGTCTTGTTTTAATTACCACCATTGTTTTAAAAGTAAAAGATAAAAATCTAATAACAGTCTATCTTTGAGTTTATAGTGTATGTGTGTTACATGTTTAAAAATAATATCAGAGAGAGGGAGAAGGGAGAGTAGGACCATATAGGATACTATTCCTGTAGTTTGTTTGAATTAACTTAGCTTGAGTCTGGAATGGAATCTAATAACTTTACTGCAAAAACAATAGCCAGGAGGCAGGCACCGTAGCACAGGTCTGTAATGTAGGACTTCAGAGACTGAGGCAGACAGTCTGTAAACCTGGGGGCTAGCTTGGGCTACATAGCAGGGCCTTGTCCCAATTGAATAATAAATAAAAAAAACTGTGTGAAAAAAATTAAGGAAATTAAAGTGTTATATTAGAAAAAAAATCTCATTCAATGATTTACCTGATAGCACTAGGTTGCACATTTAGCCTTCTCCCAGGCAGGCCACAAGCCAAACCAAACAATGCTTAGTGAATTTAAAAGGACTGAAATCATGCGATGTGTATTGTCTGATTACAGCAAGTTTAAATTAAAAACATTGACAGAAACTTGAGAAATCCACAAATAAGTTGATGTGTATTATACACAGTTCAAACAACATACTCATAAATACCTAGAAGATCAAGAAATTACAAACGAAAGGATACGTTGTTTTGAGATGTTACACTATGGATGAACCTTGGAGATATTACAGTAAGGAGTAAAATGATATTACAGCCAGTAACAAAAGCGTAAACTCCTTGATTGTATTTGTCTTAGGTAGATATATAAAAACAGTCAAGCTTATAAAAACAGAGAGGAGAATGTTAGTTCCCAGACACAGCGAACCAGGAATAGTGGGGCCTTCCTGAAGCTGAGCTAGGTTATCTGTGAACTCTGAACTAAAATGTAACAGTGAAATTGTTACAGTGAAACTGTTACCTAACAGTGAAAAACGTTCCCTGAAGAAAAGGAGTAAGGTAAGAGTGTGCTTGCTGAATATTTAAGAGTGCCTCCATTTATATAATTAAGCAAATAAAGACCCAGATAATTATAAAGCTACATGCTTTTTAGATAGCATGATCTTATATGCAAATTAAACAAAAAATCCAACAACAAAATATCTAAGGGATATGCTGAAAAAGAACTATTAGAACCCACAACGAGGTTGGCAAGGCTGCAAAAATATAATTTAATGTAAAAGTTTGCTTTATTTTTATACAATAGTGAGTGTTTTAATACCTCCTTTCCTGTTGCTGCGATAAAATTTTTTGACAAAGACAGCTACTTGCAGGAGGCAAGGGTTGATGTAGCTTACATGTCAGACTAGAGTCCTTGCTGGTAGGAACCTCAGGCAGCAGCAACCGAAGCAGATAGTCACATCATAGTCAGGGACCCAGAGGGATGGCTAGCTGGACATTGGGGCCCATGATTAAAATGGGTGTTCCAACGTCAGTCAAGGTTGTGAAGATAACCCCACAGACGTGCCCAGAGGTCTTCCAGGGGATTGTAGATTCTGTCACGTTGGCAATCAACATTAACCTTCTCAGTGTGCAATCTAAAAATCAAATTAATATATCAGTCACATTTACAATAGTATCAGAAATAACAGACATATACCTATATGGAAGACATTTGTACGCTCATAGACTGGAAGACTTATTCCTACTTCACATGATAAGCATTAACCCAAAATAAATCAAAGACTTGGAGTTGAGAGAAAATCGTTGCAGTCCTGGCAATGGTTTCTAAGACAGGCTGCCAAAACTAGAAGCAGCCAAAGAAACATTAGACAAACTGGACACATTCAAGATGGAGATCTTTAGTGTTCTGAGGATCTAAGAACTGAAAACCAAGTGCACTGGGTAGTGTAAGCCTGCGTCCTAGCATTGTGGAAACTGAGGCAGGAGTCTCACAAGTTGGAATCTAGCCTGGGTTACATAGTGAGACCCTATTTCAAAGATGACTCTAAGTTAAGGTCCAGTGAGATAGATGCCTCTGTGGGTAAAGGCTCTTGGCAAAGCTAGTGACCTGTGTTAAATCCACAGAATACACATAAAGAGACTCTACCAAGCTGTTCTGTGACCTCCACGTGTGCACAGTGGTATATGTGCCCACACACACCATGCACACATACATGATAATAGTTTCAAAGAACAAAGAAGTAGCACAATTTTTTACTCATTTCTTTCTTTTTTTTTTTTTTTTTTGAGACAGGATTTCTCTGTGTAGTCCCAGCTGTCCCGAAACTCACTTTGTAGACCAGACTGACCTCGAACTCAGAGATCCTCCTGCCTCTTGTCTCCTGAATGCTGGGACTAAAGGCATGTGTCAACAAAAATTGAAAGGACAATCCACAGAATGGTTGGAGACGTGTAGATCATATAAAATACTTGTGCATGGCGCAAAGGACTCCTGCAACTCAGTTATGGAAAGTAACATGCTCCTTGCCAAGTGCCTTGACAGAGATTGACAGAGGTTACTATGGTAATAGATAAGCAGGATACCTATTTGAGAAAAGGAAGAGTCGGGTGCTGTATTGTGAGGGAGAACAGAAAGGTTTCCCGGGGAGAGGTGATGCCAGGCTAAATCTCAGAGGAGACAGGAAAAAGGCATTCTAGTTAAGGGTGTAGCACATGCCTTGACTTGGAAGGGAACAGACTGTGTTGCTTCTGACTAACTACAGGTCTGTCACCATCCTGAGCAAAGGCGGTGTTTGGAGCCAGCCACATACAGCTATTTCTTTACAGTACTTTTGTTGGCTTTAAGTTCACTCTGCCTAGAAGACAAACTAGCATTTACTTTCCTCTACAAAGAATAAGAGTCTCAATTACTTAAATGGCCTTGGAGATTGATAACAGCTTGGGACACAGAAGCTACCGTGATTTTTATAATTGAGTGTCTCCCATATTTGGTAGTTCATCATTTCTTTTAGAAATTAGAGGTTGAAAGAATTCATGTGTTTGTAAAAAAAAAATTAATTATTTTTTTTGAGTGAACTCCTTAAAGGAGTAAATTTTCACACTCGGAGCACTATAGGAAATAGAACCAAAGAGAAAAATTTGCTTCAACACCAAGAGAGATACTGAGTCCTAAACTCCAAACTCTGGAGAGAGCTGGTCGGATGTTAGGCCCTTTCCTATGGAGCCTTCTTTTGTAAGTAACCAGTGTTATATTTGAAGGTAACTTAGAAAGACAAATTATCTGAAGGGGAATTAGGGAAGACGTCAGGAGTTGAAGGGGCGCTTTTGTAGTATCTGGGTCTGTGATTCACAATATGAACAATGGCATTTCCCAGGGAGCTGTTAGGTTTCTAGCCCGCTCCTCCCCCAGGGCAGCTGATATTCTCAATGCATCTTTCCTGGTGGTGAAGTGTGAATTATGGGAATTGCTGGGGTAGAGAGGCCATTTTGTCCTGCGGTTCTGATGTGTCACCTGTCGGGGGCGGAGTCACCAGCCTGATATCTGAGACTCACCTTGTCAATTGCTCCCCAGCTTTGTGTGGTGTCCCTGGCCTTGTTCCGAACTCTCATCGGTTTGCACTGTGAAGATGTGATGCTGCAGCTGGTTTTAAGGTGAGTGTCCGTTGTTCGTTCTCGCTAAAGACATTTCCTCTGTAGCATTACTGTTTTGTTTCTCTTTGATAATGTAAATGAAGTAAGGACCATGCCTCTAAGGAAGAAAATTATTAAGAAAGCCAATTTAATTTTTTTTGGTGTTATCACCCAAAGTTAATTTTGTTTTATTATGAAAAGTTTTTAGTAGGGGCATTTGTATTGTGTTATGAATGTGTTCCTGGAAACAATAATAAGAATGTTGGAAAATTTCGCCAGTATTAAAACTCTTTGGGGTCATGGCTGGACTTTGTTCTCCTGGGCTGTTCTTTGTTATTTGCTCTCTTAAGGGACCCTGGTTATTAAAAAGCAACTTTTTTTCAAATATACAACACTTGGATATAGTTTTCAGCCTTTTCTTTAGTAACATTGCAATGTGACTGTCCAGTCTGTGAGCATAGGGCTCAGAACTAGATGGCAGAGCCATTCTCCAGCAACATGGGGACAGCGTGAAGCAGATAGTCAGGGCTCAGCCCTCGATGGCAAAGTCACACGGCGGTACTGTGGGGGAAGCTCCGAGGATGTTGCTGATGCTCTGAGTGTGGTGATTAGCTTCAGCAGCCCCCAGCCCTGCCTTGTCCCCTCTCCACCTGCCTGTGGGACTCTGCTTCCGTGAAGGAAAGCGACTGTTCCTTGGTGACATATGGTTTGGTCCTGGATCTTCACGCTGTACTCCAGAAGCACCAGGCTAGTTGCTGGTCATTGTTTTTTCTCCTTTTTTCTGAACCCAAACCCTAAATCTTGTAATGTACTCCTCCAGTGAGACCCACTCTAACACGAGATTCAGGGTGTGTAAAGGGGGCCCACAGAACCGAGATCCCTGCAGGAAACACCCCTAGATCAACATTTCTAACCATATGGATAAGGCAGGAATAGGCCAAAACTGTAAAGAAATCAACTTTTCGTAGAGCTGAGTTGGTTCTACCATCTTTTCTTAAGTGCGTTGGTGCATAGACACGCTTTCTGGAGGCAGGGATGGAAGAGTGGACAGCTTCAATAGAAGAAGCAGGCAGGCCTGGCCTGAGGCACTCTGCCCTAAGAGGGCGTGGCCAGCCGGTGTAGGGTCAGAGGGTCAACCAGTACACCACTGAGTGCTCTCCTCCTTTCTTAGTGGAAACAGGGACCAGTGACGGGGAGGACAGGGTTAGAGGGAGGCCTGGGCTTTCTCTAGTCCACCATGGGTTTTGACATGACTTGAGTAGGAATTCTTGAAGAGGGGCTGGGACGCAGCTCCTGGGATAAAGAGCCTGCCATGCAAGCATGAGGACTTGAATTTGGTCCCCAGAACCCACTTTAAAAATAGCCGGTGTGGTAGCGTCTGCTTGTAATCCCAGCGCCAGGTCTCTGGAGCTCACTGTCCAGGCAGCCGAGTTCCAGGTCAGTGTGAGAGAATGTCTCAAAATAAACAAGGTAGACGGTATCTGAGCAATGATATATGAAGCTGATCTCTGACCACCATGTGCATGTATCTGTACACTCTGGTAGGGGAGGAAGAAGGAAGAGAGGAAGGGGAGGGGGAGAGAGAGAGAGCGCGAGCGAGAGAGCGAGCTGTGTCTTAACAAACACTGTGAAGGGTCCTGGTGTACCACCGGAGTTGGACCGTCACTGGCTGGCTGGATGGGTGGTGTGAGTATCGCATCCTACAAAAGGGGAATTAGGCTGAGTCTTGAAAAACTTGGTGGCATCCTCTGGAGGGCCTGACAGATTGTTGCTTTATGGGAGACTATCATTTATAAGATTTTAAAGTAAAACAGTGTTTTTGAACTTTTAGGGTTTAAATCAGGTCATCAGTAACTAATCTCAAGGCATTAGCAGAGAACAAATCCGATCATAAGGACACAGCTGGTAGTCTGTTTTAAAAGGATTACTTCAGCTCCCCAGCAAGTCTCTACCATCAGACAGAATGCATTAGCAGGGCCTGAATGAAATCCAGCAGAACAACTTGGCAAAGCATTTTTTTTTTTTTATTGCTCAGAACCAGGCTCTTACTCAAGGTGGGCAAAGCCTTGATTGCATTTGAATGTTAAATTCCTAAATGCCGCTTCGTTGATGGCAGGGAAAACAGCTGTGTTTGCAGTGTCCCTGGCCGGGTCTGAGATCCATCGCTTCCCCACTGTGGGTCACCACGGTCTGGCCAGGCTAGAGTGACAGCCAGGTTGGCTTGCTGGTGACCTTTACAAGGTGAGCCCTGACCACTCTCTGCTCACAGTATTCAAATCTGTACTCAGCAATGGTGTTAAACACGGTTGTATCTGAGAGCCGGACCTGGACCTTATGACGAGAGAAATGAGCTTGTGTTTGAATGTACACATGTCCAAGTCAGGTCTAGTCATTTCTGTGACATCCCAGAAGGTGTCTGCAGGACATGATGCTGTTACTAGTTCTGAATGGAAGAAGGGGGAGGTGCCAGGCTTGAGGTTAGAGACAGCTTGACCTCCTGACCCTAGGTTCTCTGGCTGGCTGTTTTTTCCACAGGGATGGTGGTGCTAACACAGTAACACAATTGCTCTTTTCTGAGCACTTCATTTCCAGCTCTACTTCCTGGAATACCAGAGGACCTGAGGGGCCTGTGCAGGAGACCTCTGGCTCCCGCCCCTCCCTCTGAGCCTGCAGGTTTACTTGTCCCACATCTGGAACATGCTGCCTCATAAGGATTTTTGACAGGACCAATTTTGTGGTGTCATCCATGAAAGCATTTCGAAAGAATGCAGGGTCTTGTCTACACCTAACGGAGGGTGACTTTCTAGAAAATATATTTTAAACTCATCAGTCTTTCTGATTTAGAATCTGTCCCTGAAGCAAGGACAACAAAAACCTTATTCTTCTAGTCACTTTGAAAGGATGTAAAAATAGATTGTAATCTTCCATTTCACTTTTGCCTGCTGTGCGGTTGTTTGACTGTGCATGGTAAGCTCGGAGGTCTGAGAGTCCACGCAGCAGTGCAGGCTGTGTGGACCTCCTGAAGAAGTTGTTGTATGGAAATAAATCAGCGTATCTCTATCTGTTGTAACTTGAGTGCTCTTAAATATTGATTCTTCAAAGTAGTATTCTGTTCTTAACCATCCGTGTTTCTCCTTTGGCAAAGTGTCAGATGGGTAAATTGAAATGAGAGATTTCCAAAGATAGGATAGGTCAGTGAGCAGAAAACCTGGGACAAATTGTCCACTTCCCGTGTGTGCAACTGTGGAGTCCAAGGGCAGACAGGAAATAATAGCAGGTAGGGGCTCAGCAGACCCCTCTGCTCCGGGAATTTCCCAGTTCCTGTGAAAATCAATTGATTATACCTTGGTTACCACTTCTGAATGTTCCTATTAGGGGGTTTTTGTTTTTGTTTTGTTTTTTAATCAGGTTTGTGAACCCCATTGCCTGGTGTGTGCAGATAAGAGCAGTTTTAGTTGAAGAGAGACTGTGTACATTTCAGGAACACCCTGATCTTGCAGAGGAGTTGGGGGGTCAGTGCAGAGCTGGACAGCCAGTGCAGGGAGAGGTGGGGAGGAGAAACATGGCCAGACTTTGATGGGCAGGTAGGCTCTGTTGAGGCTCACTGATCGCACTGTGGTTCTTTGTCTATGGGTTCCTGCTTCAGCTCATCCGCTTGGCTTCTCATAGGCAGAAGAGCAGTGTGTGTCTTCGTCAGCACTGCCTAGTCCCCAACTGCTTTGGGTAGTGGTTTACTTCTTAAAAATGTGTTCATTGAGAATATCAAAGGAAAGAAGACTTCTGTGTCTTCCAAACTTTAGGTTTTTTTTTTTTTTTTTTTTTTTGTGAAAGGTTGTAGAGGGTTGAGGAAGTAATGAAAATGTGTGTGCAATATAACATACACAGCATTTTTCATTCCTGGTATATTGGGGGAATGATGTAATCAGAACATTTAAAGACAGGATTTCTTAACCTGTGAGCTGCATGTAGTGGTGTAGATCTGTAATCCTAGGACTCAGGAAGCTGAAGTGGGGGGAAGACGAATTTGAGGCCACCCTGAGAAACATAGCATTTCAGTTAGTCAATTAACACAACACAGATCTGTAATTATTACTTTCTGAATTTAAATACAATCTCCAAACAAAATTACATACCATATAGTCAAACGACAGTTTAATAAAAAAATACCTATACTAAATCATGCTTACATGATTTTTCTGTTAGCAACAACCACATTATCTTGCTATTTATCATTTGAGAAGCTTTTAGCATACATTCTGATCCCAGTCACTGTCTCAAAAAGATGGAAGGGCACAGGCTAGGGGATGGTGTGTCTCCTTGCCCTCAATTTAAAAATCCAACAGAACAACAGTGCTGGGAATCCTTGGGGGGTTGTTCATATGGGTGTCTGTCCCCATTTCCACTCCTCTGCTTTACCCGACGGGAATCTCCCTTCATTGGATTTATTTAAGAGGACATTCTCAGCTTCTGCTGAGAACAGGTCTTTATAAAGTTGTACATTGTCAACTCTTTCTGCGAAAAGAATTTCAAGGTATTCGCTGGGTGGTATTTGATAAATAGCTTTGTTAGCTTTGATCTTATGTTCCATTTTTTAAATACTTCAAGAGCAGAAGCATGTTTATTAGTTTAAGTCATGAAAGATGACTGGTTTGAGCTGCAGACAGGCATTGGGTTCATGCAGTCTGTGAAAACACTGTTGATTCTATGAATAATTAATCACCAAGTGCAGATACAGTAAGTCCCCTGTAAGCCGCATTGCTGTAGGCATTTCCAGCCTGGAGAAGAAGAGTTCACATCAGTGCTGCGGGATACTTTTTCCTGCCTCCACCCTTGCACTTCATATCAGACCCTGGCCCTCTGGGAAACAGCAGCCGTTAACTTCGCCAAGCGAGAGCTCTTATAAGCGTTCATGGCCATGTCTTTCTCCCACCATTATCACGTGGTGTCTGCTATGGTAGCTTCCCCTGCTCTGACCCTTTTTCTGGGTGCTGCCTTCCTTCCCTTATATCCTGGCCCCTTGCTGTCTGTGCCTGCCTTCCCCTGCTATCTCCTCACCCAGCTGCCCCCAGTCGTCTCATCCTCAACTGCCCTGAGGAGCTGGGGCAGTCGGATTACCTGAGATGTTCTCTGAGTTCCAGCTGGGCTATGTTCAGACAGAGGAGGGACATGTTTCTCGTCACCCTGATTACTAAGACATCTCAGTTCACAGAGCCCCTATGAGAGAGGATGTCTTTGTTTTCCACCTGCACCACCCGTCCGTTTTCCTGTAAGGCTCGGACACAGGTCTCCAAGGTGTCTGAACGAACCCATCCCCTTCCAGGTACTTTCTTCCCACCCTGCTCCTCTTTCTCCTTGTTGCTTTCAAGAAACAGCTTATGAAATGCCGCCACAGCAGAGCTCTGGTTCTTAGAAACAGCAGTGTGTATCCATGAGGGTGGAGGGAGTGAGGAAAGAGGCGCGACTCTTTTACCCTAGCTACACTAGAAATTTAAAGTACTCAAGAAATGGCTTGATTCGGGGAGAGCGGCAAGTGTGTGTTTCAGACCCGGAGAGTGCTCTTGAAGTGACCACTTAGAGTGGATGGAGGGGATTGAATGTTTCTCTCCTCGACTCGGGCTCCTTGCAGCAGATGGGCCATTAGAACAAACAGGTTTCTTCATTGGGATCAACGGGAGACGTGGGAACCAGCCCATGCTTATAGCTCCCTCGACCTACGCTGTCACGGGACCCTTAATCACCGCTTGTTTTCCTCTGTCCTGCCTCTTTCTCAGGAGCGAAAAGGGAAGTCGAAAGCCTTCTGGTTTACTGAAAGGTTGTGGCTGCTCAGACGGGGCTTCTGTTGGGGAATATTATGTTTAAGTGTATTGCTTTTGTTTATGCTGTGTTTGTTTGACTCGGTGAAGCTGTGACTCTTCGCCTGTCTGAAACACCTAGTGGTCTAATGAAGAGCTGAGTAGTGAGGTAGGAGCAAGGACAGGTGGGGCTGGCAGGCACAGAGTCTACACAGAAGGAGGGACCAGGAAACGAAGAGCAACGAGAGAACAGGGAAGGGGGACATCAGGGACCAGCCACCCAGCCACTCAGCCAGCCACGGAGTCAGAAGGAAAGTGAGATATACAGAAGTAAAGAAAGGAAAAGGTTGGGAAAATTAGTTAAGAAAAGCTGGCAAGAAACAAGCCAAGCTAAGGCCAGGTGCTCGTAACTAAGAATACGCCTCCACGTGTGATTTATTTTGAAACTGGGTGGTGGGCCACCCAAAAGCCACGAGTAAAGCATCACACAACAGACTCAGGCTACTGTAAAACTGTCTCCGGCTTCAGGTCCTTGGTCCATCCTTGCTGAAATGGCTGGTGTGGTGTTTCCCCATTAGAAGGCGGCTACTGAAGCCACCCCTCTCCTCTCTCCCCTTCCCCCCCCCCCACCCGCAGAACTCAGTCACGTGCTCGGGTGATCTGACAAATGATCGGATCTTCTCTGGTTTCATGTGCACACTAAGAAGCTTTCAGTCACCAGCCAACCTCTGCACAGGGAACCAGGGCTCCCCACTGAGCTCTGGGCACCAGTTCCCTCCTGTCAGGGAAAGCAGAACCTGTGGTGGAGTTTGCCACCTTCCCTTGGTGCCTGTTATGAGTCAGTTTTAGGAATTGAAAGACAAACTGTTGAAACAGTCCTTGCTCTGGTAGCACACATATTGAGGAGGTAGAGTAGAGACGTTTGTGATGCAAAATTAATAATGCTCCCATGTTCACACGATGGAGGGAGAGAAGGGCTCTCCCTTGGAGTAAAGAACCAGGAAACCTCCCCAGAGAATGCGGTGCTTCCACAAGGAGCTGTCGGGCAGAGAAGAGGGAAGTCTCATTCCAGACGGAGGTCACGGTGTGTTGAAAGGCATAGGGATAAGAGGGAAACGAGTTGGTATTGGAGAGTTCTGTCAGACAGTTTTGTCAGAAGGAAGAAGCCCTTGGTGGGTTTTTAAGCAAGGCCATGAATAACCAGTGTCTGGTGTGCTGGGCGGCCTGAGGGTGGGAGAGGAATCTGCCCCTGCTCATGACTAGTTCCAATTGTGTTTTATGCTGTCATTCATATTAGTAGCTTTACAGCATTGCAGAGACATTGAATACTGGGTCTTTGTCATTTCAGGTATCTGATCCCGTGCAATCACATGATGCTGAGCCAAAGGTGGGCTGTGAAGGAAAGAGACTGTTACTCCATGTCCGCGGCCAAGCTGCTTGCCTTGACCCCCGTCTGCTGTGCCAGTGGCATCACCCTGACACTTGGGAACCAAGAAAGGGATTATATTCTCTGGTCAAAGTGCATGCATGATGGCTCAGGTGGGAACGTGTTGGGAATGATCTTCAAACATGATGCCACATCCCTCTCTCTTGGTATGATGGCACGATGTGTCTCCTTGGGTAGACCAGGCAACTGGAGAGTCAATGAGTAGTTGGAGCCTTTTTCTGCTTCATACGGAGTTATAGATTCCGTGTTAGTGTTCACCAAAGCTCCTGCCTTTACCTCGTCATTTTCACAAGTTTTTATTTCACATGTCCCTTTTAGCGGTACCTAGAGTCCAAATGTGAAAATATGTCTTAGCATGTCTTCTGAAGCAAAATGAGTCACAGGGGTTGAGCCTATAACCAAGACATACCTGCCTTTTAATTTCCAAAATTCAAAATTTAGGTTAAACACGATTTCCCAAAACTTGTCAGCCACTCTCTCCGGCAGCCACGTTTAAGGATGCGAAGAAAGTAGTGCCGTTGTTTGCAGTGAAGAAACAGACCCAGGGAGAGGAACGGACTAGTCCTGGCTTATGTAACGGGTGATGGAGGAGGGTCATCTGTCTATGTGTTACCTTCATTGGTTAATAAAGAGACTGTCTTGGCTTTTGATAGGGCAGAAAATTAGGTGGGCGGAGTAGACAGAACAGAATGCTGGGAAGAAGGCAATGAGACGCACTGCCATGATTCTCTGACCCCAGACGAATGTAGGTTAGGATCTTTCCCGGTATGCCACCGCCTCGTGGTACTACACATATTATTAGAAATGGGTTAATCAATATGTAAGAGTTAGCCAATAAGAGGCTACAGATAATGGGCCATGCACTGTTTAAATGAATATAGTATCCGTGTAATTATTTCAGGGGTAAGCTAGCCAGGATCTGGGTGGGAACGCAGCCCGCTGCTCCTTCTACAAATGGGCAACTTCTCTGATGCCCTACTTCTGGAGCTACCACACACACGCGTCCTAGTGGGGAGGTTACATAGTAGCTGGCAGAGTTCCTGTGCAGAGGTAACAGCTAGGGTTCTGATCTTGGCTTCCTCCCTTTTAGGGAAAATTTTGCAGTCATCCCAAACCTTCCCCCCAAAGACCACTGCTCCCAGGGTAGGCGAGTTCAGGCACACAGAGCTCTTAGGTGGCTTGCCCAGCAGGTAATCGCTGCTCAGGGAATATTTCTAGGAGTAGCTTGATGTCTTTTTATTTAAAGTCTATCAGAGAAGCAACACTAACCTTCTGGCAGTAGAACGGTGGACAGAGAGGTACCTGTCTGTTTTACGCCCTGTGTATACACTCTTAAAGACCCAAGCCTGATCCAGTCTGGTAGAGATTCCATTACGAGGGCACAGATCTCACAAAGACGTGGCACCAGAATGTGGAGAGGGTCCATGGCCCTGCCACAGCAAGCGGGAAACAGTATCCATCAGGTAGGATCATTGGCGTCCACACCGGTGAAAGCGCTTACAGTATCTAGATGTTTAAGGCATGGTGCACGGCTATTTCCCTCCACGTCCGAGTCTTTTCTAGACATTCCGTTTGCGGGGAAGTCACAAATGTAACTGCAGGTGTTTTCACAACTATTTCAGGGCTGATGTTGGAACTTGTAACATGAAGTCAGCTCCTTATAAACACATGAGGCCTCAGGTTGAAATGACTGTTGTGATTGGCTGTCATGTAGCTTCAGGAGACCGTCTGGTATGCGTCAGCATCCTGATTGTTGCCAACAAGGTGCAGCGGGTTCACTGCCTTTCCTAGAAACCTAGAATTTTCCTCCCAGAAAACCTGATTCTCAAACTCACAAGCCACCAGCCTTTCACCATGTTATCAAAATCAGAACCCTTTAAAATTATCGTACCCTGTGGCAGGCACCACACTGTCATCCCCTGGTTCGTGAAAGGGGCCCTCATCAGCTCCTGTTTTTCTGATGACTAATATTGTCACCAGGGAAGTCAGGATTCCCTCCTTTCAAGTTCCTAGTCTTGTTAGTAAATGAATTTAGAAATGGATCCAAAGGGAACTCAAAGACAATTTTATTAGCATGACAGAGAGAAGCACCAGGGCGGGCAAGCTGTGAGTCCTGGCAGATGCTGGGAGGAGGAAGAGAGAGGCCGTGCCTCGTGCCCTCCACGTTAGGGTCCCAGCAAACAGGCAGATTCTGCAGTAGATGAGGACCAGCAGTGGCTGGCACAGGGGTGGCTGGAGGTGGGGTCTCTAGCGGAAGAGAGAGGGAACCTAGAGTGCCCGGAAAGTGGACCTAGGTTTTTGGCCAGTATTCAAAAGAAAAAGAGACAGAAATGGGAAGGAATAGTTAGTTCTCTGAATAATTCAGAAAAGCTGGTAGGCTCCATAGCAGAGGGCCCTGTAAGAGCCTGCACGAGGAAGGGGCTTTTGGGAGGGGGAAGTGTATTATCTCTTTTGAGGATAATTGTTCTTCCATCCTCTTAGCACATCTTCTGGTGAATCAGCTTTCCTGTGTGATGGACTCTAGACCAGGTGATTGACAGGCCCGGTGATTGACAGGCCCAGCTAGGCTAACTCTTAAGGGAGGAAACAATAGTATGCAAAGCTCTGATGTCTGGAGCAGATCAGAATTTTATGTCTCCACGGGATCAGAGGCACTTGAAATTTTGACCAGGAGGCCTGAGGAGTGGACAAGCTGGTGCCTACCTCTCTGGTGTTGCCAGGAAATGGGAGGAGGGATCCAAACTGACCATGAGGGAGGGGGTCATCCACATGGGCCTCTCAGGCTGTCTAGTTACCTCACAGCCTGCACCTGGCCCTTTTGGTTTTATGTCTTCTGTGGGAGTGGAATGCCTATTGCTGTCTTCCCCTCTTAATTCAGTCTCTATTATCAGAAATAATTGAATCAGCCGTTGCTAGACCTAAGCTGGTACCAAGTCCCCGACTCATCCCCACCTCCCTTCCTGATGGCTGTTTTTTCCTGCACAGGAACAGAGGAACAGCTGCTTCCAGAAACACCCTGCCCACCTTCCCCAACCACCCTTGTTTCCCCTCCCGCCCCGGCAGCCTGCATTGTGGAGTATGGGAAGACCCTGGACATCAGCTACCTGCAGTACCTGTGGGAGGCCCACACCAACATCCTCCACTGTATGAGGGACTGCAGGGTGTGGTCAGCCCTCTATGATGGGGACTCGCCTGACCCTGAGACCTTTCTGCAGAGTCTGCCAGAGGAGAGCCGAGAAGGCTCGGCCTACCCAGAGGCCAGACTCCCTCAGCAGAGCACCAGGACAGCAGGGCGGGTGAAGGACAAGAACCAGTCGGAGCTGGAATGGGACGACAGTTACGACACGGGTATCTCGTCTGGGGCGGACGTGGGCTCTCCTGGGCCTTACGATGATGTGGAGACTCCAGCCCCACCAGCACCCGTGGACCCCCCCAAACACATCCAAGAGATGAAGAAGAACGCCATCCTCCTCTTCAAAGGGTCCTACATAGAAGAGTCAGACTTCCAGGATGATGTGATGGTGTATAGGCTGTGCGCCGAGAAGGACTCCGAGGACACCAGGGAGCCACAGGGGGCCACGGCCGACCTACCAGCCAAGGCCCAGCCCGAAGAAGAAGCCCAGAGTCCCCCCGTGAGCAATGGACCTCTCTTTAGCCCCGATCCTGAGGCAGAGCTGCAACCCAGCCCGGAGAGTTCAGACCTGTGTCAGGGTGTGTTCTCAGAAGCCACGCTAGAGTGTGACGCAGATGCAGGCTTGGATTCAAACTCGGAATCGATAGTCCCCACATCTGAGGCAGAAGTCCAGTCAGACCTGCCGGCTGCCAACACAGAGAGTGATATCATCGCACAGTACAACCAGATCATTCAAGAACTGGATTCTGGCCCCGAGGGCTTGATGGGCCAGACCATCGCCACGGCCGACACCCTGCTTCTTACAAACCAGGACGAGAGGCGAGAGGAAGGCAAGGAAGAGGAGGAGGATGACTTCGACTCCCTCATGGCAGCAACTCCTGCTGTGGAGACTGTGCCGTCCCCGTTTGGCGTCAGAGAGGACACGGCCTTGCCCGGTCGCCATCCCGTGAGGACTCAAAGCGCCCCGTTCACAGGTGACAACCTTAAGTTGCTTTGTGGTTTCAGCTTGTGCTGTGGCAAGAAGAAGGTGAGGAGGGTAAGGCATGTCTGTCTGTCTGTCTGGCAGGAATGAAGTATCTTTGCAGGGAGTGGTGGGGCAGTCTTGTTTGGCCATTCCTACCGGGATGGATTTGTTTGTTTAGCAAGTCAAGGCTTTAGAGTGTGTTCTGTATAAACTTCTCCTGATGTTCATGATAAATCAATAGGTCTGCCTGGGCCACATAACAATCTTTATCTAAAGCTGCATTTCCTTGAATCTAATTCGTTTTTTCCTTAGTATGTACTCGTATGCGCACTGTTAAAAACATCTATTTTGCTATTAGAGGGGCATGCTCCATGATGGTGACACGTTTGTTCTATGCTCTGTCCCCAGTGGCCAAGAAGTGACATCATGCTTGAAACACTTGCAGGATGACAGTTGGGTGAGAAGAAGGCCATTGCCCTTAGCTGGACTTTTGCCCTAAAGGAAAGGTTTAACACCTCTGAATAAGACGAGATCCACACGTGCATTAACCACTTTCCCAAATGCATGTGTGCGGGGAGAACAGTGCCAGCAGGAGGGAGGATCAGCCGAGGAAGTATGACAGAGAACACCATTAACTATTAAGCAGAAATGTCTGAATCTACCCCACAGTAGCACAGAGGGAATTCCCAACATAAGCGCTCAGTGCTTATGAGGAAGGTTATGAGGAAGGAAGGTTGGAGTGGGCAGTGTGGGAACAGCAGTACTGGAAGAAGCTAGTGATGCCACAGAGGGACAGGTAATGGCCTCGGAGTCACATTCTGGGTATCCTGACTCTAATACTTACCACATGCCCCCGCAGCCCCTGTGAGGACAGACAGGCAGGAAGGGTGTTGCTGTTATTCTAACTAGGGGCCCTCTCAGAATCAGTTGAGAATTTCCCTCCTGGGAGTATCTTGATGAGGAAGGACATTGTCCCCACCTTCCAGGATCCCCATAGACAGATGAACATACAAAATAGATTGCCTTCCAGCCCAGTCACCGAGATCTGCGACTTCAAGGGGCTCCCTACTCTTCTCCCCCAATATTTATTCATTTACTTACTGATGCCTGAAGATGTATTTAAATAGGGAGGAAGCTTTTAATTCCAAAATTATCAGGCTTGAGCTTCTAGCTGAGATATCATTTCAGTGTGAAAAAGTTTTAATTAAAATTCAACCAGTCAGTCAATCATAAGTTAAAAGGATTAGATCATCATCTTAGGTTTCCCAGTTGGGGGAGCTAAGTCAGGGAAAGGGGTCAGAGTAAGCTGCCTATCCTCTTGATATACCCAGCAGGAAGAACTTCCAACTGTGTTCTGAAACCTTTGTGTGGGACATCAGGACTAAGTCTGGCTAAAGAAGGCTGCCATTTAGGGTGCCAGAGTGGTCCCATCCCTGGGAGGTCCATAAATTGAGGGAAGAAGTACAGCTTGGGGAAAGCATAGAAAACAACACCTTATCACCAACACCCTTTATGTGTATGTCTTCACCTGTCCTTGACACACATGGCTCACTATAACAAAGGTCTTGCCTTCTCCTTTCCTCGTTTTGGAACTTGTGCACAGTGTCAAGAAACATCTTTTTATGTGTGAGTTCTGTTGTTTCTAAACTTCGAAGTGTGGGCTGAGGTGTTAGATCACCTTCCCTTCTCTGCAGGGATCAGCAGCAGAAATTAATTCTGTTGAGGTGAATTTGCTTCCTAGAAAAATCATAGTATTCCACTTTTTAAAAATTTATTTATTCATTAATATACTTTTTATTGATCCTGTAGTATTTGGTGAGCTCTATGCATTGGACCTAAAGACAAAAAAATTAAACGAATACACAATTGTTCACAAAGACACCAGCAAAGAACTTTGTTTGCAGTAAGGAGTGGGTATCAGGCATCGTGTTCCAGATCAGAAGCCCAGCAGAGGGGGAGGCAGAGTCACAGAACAGGGGTTCTGGGGGTGAGTGGGGGAGGGAAGCAGGATTGTGAGACTTTTCCTGGGGACACAAGATCAAACCTCTGTTTACCCTAGACAGGGCACTAAGGACAGACAAAAGAAACACATGTATCAAAGTCTAGAGTATTGAACAATGGAGTTTGCTGGGGCTCCTTGCATGAGCATGCATGAAGGGTTACTTATAAAAACACGGGTGATTCAGAGGAAGCTGCATCACTGAAAATCCCATCCCAGCATGGGCAGTGACTCATATAAGCTGCATCCCTGGAGGTTCCAGCACAATTTGCAGGCAGCTATACCAGAGTCTCCTCTCCCCCAGCAATCACTAACTGCTCCTGCAAGACCTCATGAGTCTTGCAGGCTCATGATATTTCTGAGCCCTGTAACTTTGGTTAGCTTCTAAACCTTAGGAGCATTCATCCCAGAAGGAAAGGGCTGACAGTAAGCTGGTGCTGCAAACGGAGGTGAAGAGTGTGGGTCTCATAGGGCAAGGCGGGAGAGGAAGCCCAGGAGCTGCTGCTCCCTGCTGGTAGGGTCTGGGTCAAGATGAAGTAGGGGCCTTGTGCTCCTGGCCAAAAAATTAAAACTGGACTGTGGCCCAACTGGATCCAAAGGAGCCTTAATAGTGGTGTGGAGAGTAGGCTGGGGAGGGGTAGTGGCAGGAGGAACATGGAAAATATGTTGTTGATTAGAATTTAGGCTGTGCCCTGCTGTTTCTAGAGCCATATGCACAACCGTATTTATACTTCTGTGCTACACATCCATCCATGTATATTCACATACATGTATACACACATATATGTATGTATGTATGTATGTATACACACCTGGAAAGGTACGTGGAACTCTGGCGTCTTTATAGGATGTGCTTAATAAATATTTTCAATAATTCTGATATCACTTTATCATATCCATATACTTTTTCTGTAATATACTAGAATCTCTAACAAAGGTTTCTTCTAGTAGGTGACCTGTTTTTCACTTTGCAGTTTTATACTCTTTCAAAGATGTATGTGTGTGCTTATGTATGTGTGTCATTTTAATCTCTGTTAAAACAGAAACATTGTTGCTAGAGTCCAGACAGGATGTGAAAGGACTGTGCCTAAGGCAGGGATACGGAGGTGGAAGTGCAAATGCAGACACCATGTACACACACACATACACATCACATACACCCACCACACACATATGCACACACATACCACATACATACATACACATACCACATACATACATACACATACCACACACACATACCCACCATGCACATATGCACACACATACCACATACACACATACACACACCTATCATGCACATATGCACACACACATACCATACACACACACCCCACACATATGCGCGCGCACACACACACACACACACACACACACATATTCAGACATTTCTCAGGTTGGATTTGGGAACAGAGCTGAGTCACAGAATCAATGACAAGTTGTTTTCAGAACTGAGAAATGCGAGACTCGCTATGGGCAAGGGACTGAGCATTTGAAGGGAAAGATGGGAATGCTAGGAAGGGCAGTGAGGTCCCAGTCTTTCTGAAGATTTAGCTATTCTCTGGGTGTTCTCTTCATCACCTTTGTGGGACTGTGATAAAATGTCCGAGGTGGCCACCTTTATTTTGGCTCGCTGTTTCAGGGGACTCAGTCCGTTCACCCAGCCCCATTGCCTTTGGTCCCATGGTAAGACCGCACAGCCTGGTATGTTGTATGTGGCCTGGGAGCTTCCCATCTCATGGTATCATGGGAACAGAAAAGAATAAAGATCAGGCACCCAGAATCCTCCTCAAGGGTAAACCCCTGATGACCCAATTTCCTTCTACTAGGCTCCACTTCCTAATGCTCCACCACCTTATAGCCATGTGGGGGACCAAGCCCTCAATAATACATGGGCCTTTGGGGACATTCACGATCTAAACTAGCAGGTGAGGAGCTCATTGTCCTCCCAAGGATAGAGGGAAAAGTATTTTCTCTTCACTTCCTCCATTGCCTTGGCTTTCTGAGAGTTCTGCAGTCTTCTCCTTTTCAGATGCTTATGGTTCCCCTGGCAACTGCTTTGTGCTAAGCAGCTTTCTCTGATGTGCTAGAAACCAGCTAAGAATAAAGTCAGCATTCAGAGTTTAATGTAGATATTTTATTGCTCATGCCTAAGGATGTACAGTTGGCATCACTCATGGATCACAGTGGCAGTCTGCTGGCCTTGTCCACATGCACTGTCACTCAGGTGGGACACTAATAGCACAACCTCATTTCCCACCGTGCATGGGACTTGAGCTCTCTCAGTCCCCCTTGCAGTAGTAATGGGCTTATACATGTCTACCCTCATCACTGATGGCCAGCAATACTTATGTCTGTAGGTGGGATGGCTAGATGCAGACAAAAATATTCTGGGGTCAGTGAAAGTAAGACAGCCACATTAGGAACATGTTTTGTTGAAGGTTCAACCTATTTGATTATGTCTTTACTAAACAGATTTCATCTTTCATATGGAAGGAAACAGATTAGGAACCAGAGATGTCAGAAACTGGGGGTAGAGTGAGGGTATGACAGACAGACAGACAGACAGGGAAAACTGGTCCAGAGTAGAAGAGGGTAGGGAAATCAATTCAGAAAGACAGACGTGTGCTGTGGTGACTTAAGAACGCTAGTGACATTTCTGGGGTTCTTAAGGGGACAACCATTAGTTGCTTTCAAACTGAGATTCCAGTCTGTGGGGTTTCTGGATATGTTTGGTAGACCAGCCCCCCTCCCACGTTTGTTTGGCAAGATTCTCCAAGGCTCATCACTCCCCTTAGGGTTCATCACCCACTCAGCACAGAAAGTGGTGAAGAGTTCTGCTAGCCCTTCCCAGAAACGGTGTGGCACGTGGAGGGATGGCACCTCCCAGGGCCTCTTACAGACCCGACACAGGATCACTGCCCTGTCCCATCGCTCCCGATGTCGGCACTCAGCGTAGCTGTCTGCTCTCACTTCCCAGAGAGCTCGAGTCCTTATATGGGATTTTGCCCTTAGCTGCTGGCAGACTTCTGCATGAAGCATCTGGGGATGAAAGTGTGTTTGTGTTAGACTCACTAATGTTGGTGAAGTCTTCATAAGGTGTGTTTATCTATCAAGGGTTATGTGCATGTCTTATAAATAAATATGCCTGGCTTAGTGGCCTCATCAACAGCGGGAGCTCCACTGGGGGAAATACAGACGTCTCATCGATCTTGCTTAATGGAACACATTTATGGTAAAAATTTAACACATCTTCAAGTAATTTTATTAATTCCAGATTTATTATTTTTTTGTTTTTCTTGCCCTCAGTAAGCCAACACATAAACCACATTAACTTGCTACCAATGTGAGGCAGAAACAGCTTCCTTTTGCTAATAGATATAATTTATGAACTGCTTTTCAATCCTACAGCTCTGCTTTGTGATACCTCTGTGTCACACCAGACCACATTTCCTGAGACTGATCCCTCCTTTCTCTCTGGTCTGAAATAGAAAATGCAGACACAGGGTTGTCAGAATAGTCAGGTCGCTACCCAGGGCCACTGTCTCCTCTTCCCACTCTTCTGTGCTCTGACATCGAGGCAGAGCCTCTCTCAGGTGTGTGTATAGGATATACAGTCCCTGGTCACACCTTGCTGTTTGGTAAACACTGCTCAAATATGTTTGGTACTCTCCACTAACACGGAGACTTGTGGCTATGACACTTTCAGTGGCCTCTTACATCTGCACGCTGCCCACAGCACCCAGAGATAGTGAATTTCACATTTTGAAAATCAACAGAACAAAAAGCCAGTGTAGAAACGCATTTTTAATCTTTAAATATTATTTGTTGTCGGAGCTTTTCAAAGTTCTTTATGGCTTTCAAAGTATTAAGGTGGCTGTAGAGTCAGGACGTCAGCTCTCATTCACAGGGAGAAGCAGATGCGTGCCCAGGGTGGTTTGTGACCGTGGCCCCAGTGATTCTGCAGCTGTAAGAAGACTTGTCCCACATTCCCAGCCAGCCCTGACACTGTGTGTCCTCTCGGTAGGTCCATTCATCAGCGTGGTCCTGTCGAAGCTGGAGAACATGCTGGAGAACTCTCTGCATGTCAACTTGCTTCTGATTGGCATCATCACCCAGTTGGCCAGCTACCCGCAGCCACTCCTGCGCTCCTTCCTCCTCAACACCAACATGGTCTTCCAGCCTAGCGTCCGCTCTCTCTACCAGGTATGCTATAGACACACCTGCTTCTTTTCTCTTTCCTTTCCACTCATGATTTTGTTAGTTTTCATAATTCCCACATCCCAATTAATTTGCTTTCCTTCCCTGTCCTATTAAGCTGACTGTGTAGGTTATTCTGGACAAACTGCAAAGTTTCATTTAGTTTGATGCTTTGAGGTTACCTTACCAAGACTACACAGGCTGTTAAAAACAAGCAAGCAAGCTTCTGATACTGTAACAATCCTTGTACCGAGGGCTGGACCCAAAAGATACATGAATAACAGAATGGGATTGCGCTGTGGAGCAATAGCATCATTCATGTGGTTTTTGACAGGTCCTTGCATCTGTGAAAAACAAGATCGAGCAGTTTGCTTCCATGGAGAGAGACTTCCCAGGGCTCCTCCTCCAAGCCCAGCAGTACCTGCTCTTCCGGGTGGACATGTCTGATGTGACCCCTGCAGCATTCACCAAAGGTCAGGCAGCTTTCTCCACCTTCTCCATCCTAGCCTGCTCCCACTCCCCCACATTCTGGGTTGTGTTTGCCAGTGTTGGCTTGGCATCTGAACCCTACAAGCATCAAAGACTGTTTTTATTTGTGTCCATCTTAGAACAAACTTCTCAGACCTGAAGGGCTTCCTGGCCCGCACTGGCCCATACCCTCCCTCGAGGATTTGGCTGGCCATTCATTTTCCTTGTTGAGGTGGTTTGGGGAAGGCGCTGGTGTGTGAGATGTTGTTAAACTCCAATAAATCGCAGTACCTGTGGAGCACAGAGAGGCATTATGTGGACTCCTTGGAACCATCTTTTGGCCATCCCTGCCCCGCAGATGCCATCTGTTCTCTTTATTATATTTTCAGAGCATCTTGCACCAAAAAATAAATGTGCTTTAGGGCTCGAGGAGGTGGACGCTGTTTGTAAGGCTGACGGGTGAGATTGTCCCCAGCCTGATTCCTGACAGTGCTTCACTCTGCTGGGGAGGTGTTAGGTGGGTCATGGCAGGACAGAGAGAGGTGGGTGGTGGGGAGGTGTGGAGGAGGAGAGCTGAGAATAGCTCCGCTGGCCCCTGGGCCTGGCGAGCGCTGCTGCTTGGCTTTGTTTCGGTTCTGGTTAGACACATCTGATGGCCATTGTCTTCTGGGCTGTGACACAGGCCCTGGTGAGCACAGACGAGCATATGTCCAATATGGCTCTGGCTGTACCACAGTTATCCAGGTTGGAACTCTCATGCCCCTGCTTCCATGGGGCAGGTGAGCAATGAGGAGACTTGGTGAGAGGCAGAAACATAACTCTGGGAGAAAGTTACATCATTAAAACAAGCTGAAAAGAAGCCAGAACTGTGTAGCTACTGGATCAGGTCTCTATGTGTTTGCTGTTTGATCTTGGTCACTTTGCTTCGTTGGGTCTTAATGTCTAGCTAATTTTGGAGGTGGGGCTGTGGATGAAACCAACGGCCCCCAGCATAGTAAGCGTACAGTCTGCCACGCAGCAGCATCCCCTGCTTTTCCCTGACTCCTATCTCTCTCTGGCCACAGCAACATCTCTGGTTGCGGTGAACTACGGGTACGACAGCAGATTTCAAAAGGCCACTGGTAAAGTGATGGCTCAGGGTTTAGGTTGTTAGACTTTGGAAAGGGAAGGCAAGGCTGAGGGAGGGCAGGATGGAATTCAGGCCCCAGTGGGAGAACGGGCCTCATTTGCCCTTGTGTTTGGCAGGTCACTGTCAGAGCTTAGTGGCTTCAATCGTGGCTGTCACTGACTGTATGAGTGCATATACATGTGGACTTGGGGTGTGTAGATGTGCTGTGAACCCAGCCAGCTTAGCTGATCTGACCTGGCCCACTCATGTGCACCATCAGCAGGATGCCCCACACGTCTGCCTGTTGAGTGGGGTGGCAGCATGTTTCTCACCACTCAGCACCTTAGTTAGCACCAGCAACATACATGACTAAGGAGCTCCAGGACTGAGAGTGGGGTTGTAGCAAATCCCTGAGGCTGAGAGCTCACTCAAGGACAAGCCTGCTGCTTTGGGTTGCTAAAGAGAGTCTCTGGGTGCTCAGGGAGAGCTGTAAGGAATGGTGGTCTATGCGGCTCACTGGACAGAGGCAGCTCAGTCTCCTGGCTTCAGGTCTGTCTTCACTTGTTGTATAGTTTGGAAGGTGCTTTCCTTGACAGTCAGCTTCTACTGCTAAACAGCACTGTGACATGGACAGGGGTCACAGTGGCTCCATCTTTGCACACGAAACGGCAGTCAGAGGCCTGAGGCTCAAGTATCTGAGGGTATCCAGCCTTGTTCACAGAGACAAGGGGGTATGTGTAAACACACACACACGCACGCATGCACGCACAAACACATGCATGTATCTACAGGAGACACTCCAGTGAACTGTAGCCAGCATATGTGGAGTGGGCAGGGCTGATGTCACCTGAACCCGGGCTTGGTCCTGGATCACCTTGTTTGGCAGCTGTGGTTAGGGAATGTGCGCCCGTGACCTTCTTACCATAGAAGGTCATCACATTGGTCAGCGGGCATCAGTGTTTTTAAGATCCTGACAATCAGGGAATTGATTTGTAGGAAGCTTCTCTTGAGAAGAAAACTTTCCTTTTAATTGGGTTTGTCTTAGTTTGCCTTCTGTTGCTGTGATGAAACACCACGGCCAAAAGCAATCTGGGGAAGAAAGTTTTAATTATTCCAATCACACCTCCAGATCACAGTCCAGCACCAGAGGAAGCCAGGGCAGGAACCTGGAGGCAAAAGCTGCTGCAGACGCCATGGAGGGCTGCTGCTTACTGCCTTGCTCCTCATGACTTCCACTCAGGACCACCAGCCCAGGGGTGGCACTGTCCACAATGAACTGGGCCCTCCCACATCAGCGTCAATCGAGAGAATGCACCACAGGCAAAGGAGGGGGGGGGCAGTCGGGGTTCCCTATTCCAAGGTGACTCTAACTTGTATCAAGGTGACATAAAAGCAGTCAGCACAGAGTTGCTCATATTTACTTCCTAAAGGCTTTTAGGTTAGCCAAGCCACCCTCCCACGACAACAGAAACCCAAACCAGAGAGATAGCTTCCCGTCGCCAAGCACAGATGTCAGACTGCTTTCTGATGTCACTCAAGTCTGCTTTCTGTGCCGCACCGACAGGCCATCTCCTGGTGGCAGGTCAGCTCAGGCCCACCCCAGTGGCTGCTGAACTGCCTGAAGGACGTCCCTGAAAGTTTCTAGACTCCTCTGCTACTCTTCTGCCTCATGAGGAAAGATTCTTGGTTTCAAGCTGGGCAGATAAACCTTAGCAGGGACACTTCTAATTCACAAGTCATGCTAGATAAATATCCACAAAAAGCCTGGCTTAGAGGAGGGGCAAGTTTGAGGGAGAGAGCTGGAAATGAGGGATGCCAGGCTCTCTGGGGAGGAGTGTGAAGGAATGTGGGTCATTCCTTCATGGCTCATTGTGCACAGCATTGCTGGTCTCCAGGAACAGCCTGGCCCACGAGGGCTCGACGCTGGGAGACACTGAGGCACAGCAAGCTGGGCCAGCCTCTGGTACGTGGGTCTCCAGCACGCGGGGCAGGAACCCGAGCAGGGGGGCCTTGAGGGACTGTCGAGCAGCAACCGCAGGGCTGTGGAGAGTTGGTGGGGTGGCAGCGGGAGTCCTCCATATGCAGGCCAGTGGCCCCTGTGTACCGGACACCCAGTGGCTCACCCGATCCTCAGAGTCATTCAGTGAGCTTTTGAAAGTGCAGAGAGGTGGAGCCACTTGCCTGGGGTAACCCAGTCAGTGGGTAGGAGGGGTTGCCAAGGCTGCCCTCTGGACCCTGACATTGCTCACACTCTGGTTCAGGCTCCTGCCAGGGAGTGTGAGCGATTTCTGGTGAGAGGTACTGGGGAGCAGATTCTCAACTTTCCCAGTTCTCTGTAACACGAGCTGTGATAAGCTTTAATCCAAAAGGATATTTAAAGCAGCAAAGTGGAGGGTTTTTTTTTTTAACACTAAAGACTATAGTAGTGAGATGTGGAAAGTCCTATAAATGTCAAGAATTTTTAGTGCTGTCGTTAAGCAACACTCTGAGAAGTGTTGGGAAATGGGGCTGAATTCTAAAACGCAGCCAAAATAAGGAAGAGCTTGAATATGGAGATTCAGAAGGAATAAGGAGATCATTTGGGTGGGGCAGAAGGTGCCATAAATAATTCCTACAAATATATGAGGGCTGGGGAGCTCAGGAATTAAAGTCAGGGATATTGGGCCATTTTAATTACCAGGACTGATTTGGTATGGAAATGTTAGAACTGGGGCTCTGTCATCTCAGACTTGACTTACTGAAACGGGGGCGCAAACCTCTGACTGTAAATGCTGCCCCCCCCCCCCAGTCCTTTGTTGCCCTGGATCCTGACGGCTGCACAAGATTCTTAGGCTGGGTCTCACATTATTTCTTTAGTTCTGGTCTGTAGGAATCTCTCACCCTTGTGTTTCGAAACTGGAGGACCCAGCAAGAAAGAGCTGAGGTTTCTGGGAAGCCCCTGGGGTCATAGCAGCAGCTGAAGAAGACAAGAGCTGAAGGAGTGAGCTGGTGACCAGGACTCCCCGCACTAGGGTGTTAGTCAGGCAGAAGGGCCACAGGGGTCCTTGGTAACTTCCCCATGAGTCCATTCTCCACTCAGCTGACACTAGTGGTAGCAGGTGCTGTTGGAAGTCAGCCTGTCTATCTATATCAGCTGTCATCTATTGATCTAGCTGTCCGTCCGTCCATCCAATCAGGGTTTTGCTTTGTTGCTCAGGCTGATCACATGATCCTTAACCTTTGGCCTCACAGATAGCCAAGTCTTCAGGGTGCCAGCACAGTGTCTGGCTGGGAGTTTGTCAATCCTGTGTTCTTGTCACAGCTATGCATGCGGTTCCCTGTATAGGACTTCAGGTAAACAGCCCTGTATGGCAGCTGAGTGCTGCCTGTCATCTGCTGGACAGACTTGCCATGGAGCACGTGGACGCTGCCCTCAGGACCTGGGCAGCTGAGGAACTGCATCACGACTATTCTCCCCACTAAAGCACTTGCCCCTCACACACACACGTTACGTAACAGCTCCAAGATTCCTCCTTTCTGCTTTCAGATCCCACTCAAGAGGTCTCCAGGACAGAAAGTGACAAGACCCTAACGGATGGCCCTCCACGCGTGTTTCAGCCCTTCCTGGGCAACAGAACCAAGGTGGCTGGGGCCCCCCCAAACCTGCCTCTGCCAGTGAAGAACACCATGCTGGCTGCCGCTCTCTTCCCAGAGTTCCTGAAGGAGCTGGCAGCCTTGGCCCAAGAACACTCGATTCTGTGTTACAAGATCCTGGGGGACTTCGAGGACTCCTGCTGTTAGCTTTTTATACTACTATTTTAATAGATACTCGGTTTTATAAGGTAATAGCATCAACTGAATGTTAAATGCAAAGCTGCTTATCAAAACTGTCCACTTTGATACTTCCTGACAATACTTGATTTGTAGCCGGGTCTCCCTTTGTTATACGGAATGTAAGTCTCTGAGCTGGCTGTCCCTGTGGCGGGTCTTTCTGCTGAGTTTTCCTCTTTACAAGGTTTATAGCTGTTATTCCATCCCTGGGGTGGGGTCCTTCAGCTCGGAGCTCAGACAGCAGCGAGCACGCAGAGGTTCTGTGATCTCTGCACACCGTGATGGGGTCAGCTTTTCAGCAGCCCCAAGGAAGCTCCTCCACAGGGGCATGCACACGCCTGCCCCCTCTACCCTCTGAAAAATGCAAGAAGAGCGTGGAGCTCCGCCTGCCACAGGTACACCTCATCTGCTGCTTCAAATTTTACTTGTAGGACTTGCAGTCTCTCCACACGTATTGCCTTATGTTGTGGGAAAATCCCCCAGCCCCAGCTGTCTGCCCAAAAATTCGCACAGAAAGAATTTGAAATGTGGGGAGTTTTTTTTTTCTTGTTGCTTGAGAGCTTGCTCTAATCAAGACCAAAACACAAGACAGCCTTAATTTAGTACGATTTGCACAAAATGAAGCGTACCTATGCAAACTCTTGACCTCAGGCATGTGATCAGGTGAACAGAGTGTGGTATCATATACAAAAATCCCAACCCTTATTATTTGTTTTATGCTTATTATTTGTTTTATGAAAAAAAAAACGTTAACTTGTGAAGCTATAGAGTACTTGGGGGGGGGGGTGCAGAATTTGAAGTGCAAAAGATAAAATTTATGCTAACTGAAACCTGTAAAAACCCTGGTAGTTATTTCATTTTGCTAATAGGATGGAAATGTATACGGATCCCAGGGAGCTGGTGAAGCTAGGTGCCTGCTGCTGACCTACAGCTTCGGATTAAGGAGGCCTTAAGGGACAAATGCCCAGATCTGGAGCAGTTAGGAGCCAGACTGACAGTGTGCCATAGGCTAAACAGGAACCCCTGATACCTGTTCATGGGACATTACTGACTTCGTTTGTCTTGAAAAGCAGTTTGCCTAGTCATGGTGCAGCGACCATCGCGTGGGAGGCACAGTAAACCGGCCTGCTCCTGCCCTCCTGATGAGCGCTCACAGGTCTCCACTAGAAAAGGGAGTAGCTTCTGTTAGTGAGAGGAGCAGCTAGAGGAACTGTTACCCTTCACACCCCACTTCTGTGGTTATTTGTGCTTGCCACGCCACTGAAGGCTGAAGCCATATCTGCAAATGGAGTTCTTTAGCCTTATGGTTTTATGCCCATAAATATCGGTATTCATGTCCGTATTTCTTTTTTTTTATTCCTTAAAAATAATAGAACTGCTAGGCAAGCATGCTGCTACTTAGCTATACTCTATACCTTTCCCACATATTTATTAATTATACACCCTCTGTAGCAGGTGTCTGTGGGAAAGAGTGACTCTGGGTGTCATCCTCCCCCACCCTGAGGTACTGATGCACACGGATGTCAAAAGGGGTCAGAGATGACTGCCTTGAGTACCAGGTGAAGGGGCAGGAAAACAGATTACCTGGTGTGGGATGTCGATAGCAAACTCATTTGACAACTCTTAACTCCATCTGTTTCTGAGTCCTTCCAGACTTCCCTAAGAGGGCTGTGCTCAGTCTGACAAAAGGAAGTCAGAAACCTGAGCTGGGAACAGAGCACTGAGCACCTCAAAGCCCATGCAGTTGAGCTACGTAGCCAGGGAGGGTGCGGACATGCCAAGAGCGAATGTGAGGCACAGACAGAAGAGCAGGTCCTGATGATTTGAGCTCTCGGCAGGCAGGTGATGACAGGCGCTCTCTGTGGGAAGTAGCAGCCGCCAGGTAGGTTATTTTAGTCCCAAAGTTCACAAGCTGAGCCTTTTTATTCTCTTTTTTGGTAATACATTTTGGGAGAAGTTTTAAAGATATCTGACGTGTTTAAAATATGGTCCAGGGACTATGTCCTCGTCCCTGTGACAGGTGTCATCAGCTGCCATGCTTGAGGGGAACAGACCCTGGACTGGCATCACTGTGTCTAGCCTGACGGACCTCAGCAGGGACAGGGAGTAGAGGGTTCCTGGAACATCACAGCATTAACCTAGATCCATAATTCAGGATCTGATTTAAGGTCTAGACTGACGGAATTTTATGGTTCAAAATACACAAGCACACAGGGATAGTTAAAATTGATTTTGAAAATCGTCAGGTAAATGTAAAAATTTGAACAAAGAAAATCCAGTGTAGTTTCAGTCTAAAACAGATTTTCATGGGACATGAAGTACAGTTGCAAGAAGAACTAATTAAAGGTGGTTTTATTATTGAGCTCTTCCTTGCTATGGCAGAGCCACTGTGGGACTGTCCCCATCTGGTTTAGCAGCACTGTGGAAAGTACTGTGACCTGCGGAGAGTGGCGCTGGTGTCTGCGGTAACAAGGAACGGTCCTTAGCGAGTGGCCTTTATTTAGCTTAGATGTAGTGCTTGGTTTTCAGCCCATCAAGACATCCTGAGGCACGGTGCTGTCAGCCTGGGAACAGAATCTAGAATCGGGATCTGTGAATGTTTTGGGTTGCTCCAGTTTGGGCAGCGAGCATCTGCATCCCAGCAGTCACGTGAGTTTGCTTCGAGCTCTATTTAGAGGCCTAAAGTTGTGATGTGGCTACCCATTCGGGATTAGCACATGCCAGGCGGCTCTCAGTAGGGAAGTCTGGCCAGCGTGGTGGGGCATGTCACAGCGTGATGTTAAATATGACCATGCTCCAATCCTCACTAGGGTAGTCTAGTTCAGTTGTTAGTTAGCAGCTGTGTGTTTGCAGAGAAGGCTGTCAAGCCTGCCATCCTTATGAAATGCTTTACTGCAGGGCAGCTATTACTGCACACACCACTTCAAGTCACTGGCCTGGGACAGCCTAATGTACAGTCTGCTGCAAACTTCAAGTCATTTCTGCAGTTGGCTTTTCCTGAGGCAGCAGTTCCTCCGGCAGCTGAGGCCACAACAGCTTTAAACCGTTAGGGGGATATCTTAGCCCCTTTCTATTTCAGCGACCGGTCTGTGAGTCACTAATCCCCATCACACACCAGTGTGAACTTGGAACAACTTGTCAAGGGTGTGTACTCTACCCTTAAGTCTGTCAAGGAAAGAGACATTTGAAGAGAATGGAGTTGGATCTTTCTTTCTTTCCTTTCTTTCTTTTCTCTGTTTCTCTCTTTCCCTCTTTCTTTTTTTCTAAATGACCATCATAAACGTAATGCTTCACAAAAAGCTCTTGGAGGACTCAGAATGGCTTCTGGGGGATAATTCTGCCTCAGCAAATCTCCTCTACATCCAGGCATTTATTAGTCCATTACTTGTTTTGGAGGACAGATTATCTAGGCAGCTAACTGACTAGATGCAGAGGGCTTCACTAAGAGATTTCTGTAAGGCTCTCTAGGGGGAAAGCACCTGGGCGAGGGAGAGGAAGGCAGAACAAGTCACTGTCAGTAATTCCTGTGGCGGAGCCCACCTGCTGATGCGGATGGTTTCAGCAAGCTGTGCTCTTGTCTTTGAAGATGTGAGTTAACCTCGGTCACTGTTGCCCACAAAGCCTGGCCACAGGATTTTGTCCCCATATTCATTTCAGGGTTCTTTTATGATGTTTGGATGAGCTGTGTCACTTCAGAACCTGAAAAGGTGATGGAAATGCTCAGACCAGGTTATTAATTTCACTGGGCTGAGGCCACACAAGTCTGTCCTTAGTATGTCAAGTCTATAAAAGGACCACCAAAAGCTAGGTCTCTTTTGTCCCTGCGGACATTTTACATGTGATCTGGCGCTGGTAAACTTTCTAAAGACTTCTGTTCAACCATGGCCTGGGGAGCCAGTGAGACCGGACTTCACGCAGTGCCTTCTACTTCCCACCCATGGGTCTGTTGGAAAGCAGCTCCCAGGTACAACTGTCTAGAACCTGACAAAGCAGCCCTGTGGCCACATCCACACTGTGTCTAGAAATGGGAAAATTACATGGCCTTCTAGATGGGCTGTTTTCCCTTCGTTTTACTCTTTGAGTCCTTGAAACGGTAGTGACTAAATCCAACCTAACTGAAAGATACAACATAAACGGTGGGCTGTGCCACAGGCTATTGGAATGACCGACTGGAAGGGGCGCATGCTCAGGCCTTTCCTGGCATATTTCCAGATGATCAGTAATTGCGTTAAGAGGGGGCACGGATGGTACTCACCTCAGTAGAATACTGGTGGTTTTTCTATCCATGCCTTGAGAGAAATGAACAAAAGCTCTACTCATCTACAGACCTAGCAAGTGTAGAAGGCTGGCTTTGGACAGAGATGACCTGGAATTTAATTAGCAGTCCGTCTTACAAAGGGAGGGGTGCAGGAAGATGCCTGGGCATTTGTTTCAAGGTTAGACTACGTATATTCTGTTAACGTCCCATGGAGAGCAGGCAGAGGCGGCTGGGGTGTGGGTGGGAAGGAGGCTGAGAAGTCATCAGCTCCCAGCACTTTCCCCTACCGGTCATGGCTTCTGAGTCACACATCCAGCTGCAGGTGTGTGGGTTCATTGACAGCAGTAGCCTCGGCTATGGCGCCAATTCATGTATTTTAATGAGATTTCCCCTAACTGGTCCAGACTACATTCATGCCTGTGCAAGAAAGGAAAGCCCTCTTTCACAGAGGCCTGTGCCCAGCAGAGCCACACTTGGTGAGTTCTCGTCAGGGTCCAGGCAGAGCAGGCCTTGGCTTTTCCTTGGTAGCTGTGCTATGACCTCTTAAAGCCTGGTGTAGGGTTTAAAGACAACAAAGGGGACATGGCGGAGCTAGATGGGAAGAGTCTCGGAGACTGCGGATGGCGTCCCCTGGGGGAATACTCACTCTGCGTGCACTTTTCAGCTGACAAAATTGTTCTTGGAAACTACTTCTACCAACACCCATCCAAGTGAGCCCAGGACGTCAGCTTCACCACTGTTTCCCACAAGGGTTGATGACCAAGCCAGAACCTCTGGTAAAAATGGAAGTTGTAAAACTGAACCTTACGTTCTTTATGAAATAAAGGTCCGACCGGATTTGGATCTGAGTGTTCTGGCCACGGGAGCTCAGGCTTGGAGAGCGAAAGGGGTCCCCTTTCTCTCTTGTAGGGAGGTCAGCAGAAAGCACTTTAACAGACAGCATCAGGGCAACACAATGTGGGGCCCATAGCTTCCTGGGAGGGTAACATTCTAAACTTCATCTCCTGTTTATCGGAAACAAACCACAGAATTGGCATCCGCTCCATGTCAGCTTTTGGCTGGGCAAGGGGGTCACTTTCCTTCATTCTGACATCGTGAAGCCATCACTCTGGTGAAGGAGGTGGGGCGCCCACTCTCCCCTGTTCCTCAGGTGCCCCTGGAATGATGGCCCCCAGCAATGATCTTACCAAGCCAGAGAACCCCAAGGCCTCCCCCACCTACTACTTTGCTGTCAGTTTGACAAGTAGTTCTAAAAACATTTGAAAAACTAGTCATTAGAAGGGGTGTGGAGTTCTGAGGTACCGGGCTATAAGAAACAGGGCGCCCAGACTCCAGAGAGGGAGGAATAGGGTCGAGGTAATGGGCCTTCATCACCACTGTCAGCTGTACTTCAAGAGTTAAAGGTCAAGATTATGATTTATCAGTTTATAATCTTATTCTTTCCAGGTAAAAAAAAATGTTTCAGATCTCTCTTTTGTTCTTTTTTTTGGGGGGGCTAAAGCATTGCGATGTAAACTGTACAGTCTCTGAAGTGGAAGTTATTTTTATGTGCTGTTTCAGCATCTATTTTATTCATTAAACTTATCTGAAAACGCCCGTGCCGCTGTAGTTCACCGGGAGCCGACGGTGCAGCAGAGCCTGCGCTCACTCAGATGAGCGGGACGGCCCCTTCCTTCCTGCCTCTGGGACAGCGTTATGTGGCGTCCGTTTGTCCTGCTGTGGTTTCCTCTTCACATGTCCACTTTCAGGTCTGAACACACACCGAATCCATCCCGCTGTCTCAGTCGCCGGCCTTTCAGTGCTTGACTCCTGGGAAGCCTTCATGGCTCTCGGCTGAGACAGAGCTTTATTGTTTAGAATTACTTCACAGGAGACCATGTTATTCCTTTAATCACTGCGGCCATCATCACAGACCCATTTCCTCCGGCTCCCTCCCAGGTCATCGGGTCTCAGAGGACACACACAAGTGCCAGAACTTGGACCCACAGAACAGCGGTTTCCCAGGCTCCTGTCCGCCCTCGGGCAGAGGGACCTCACCACATCTCACAAGGACAGCTTCTTCTCCAGTATTTCCTTTATCAGCGTTGGGTCTGCTCGGCTTAGACTTGCTTTCCGCACCAACCCAATCAGCTTATTTATAGCTTTGGGGTTCCTTTTCTTCACATCCATCACCTGTGAAAACAGAAGGTAGGAGGTGAAAATAAAGACACTCACCCAAGAATCTGCAAGGTTGCCACTGATTGCAATTTAAATTCATGTCCTTTCTTCCCTTCATGTAAGATGTAAAATGAGGAGGGGATTACATTCTGAGATTGTTTTATGCTCCTGTCAAAAGGGTCCTGGGTCCTCTCCTTCTGCTTAAAGTGGACAAGGGAGCTGTGATCACAAATGACCGCTGCGGGAACCAGTGCTCTCCTGGGGTGGGCGCGGCTGAGTCAGGGCGTCTGTGGGGAGCATCAGGCAAATCGGCAGGGGAGCCTCTCAAGATCTCTAGTGCTGCTGGGCAGGCGCCCCTGCTCCCTGCCAACAACAACTGCTCCTTAGAAAACAAGCCTTCGGGATGGCAGTTCACTCAGAGAGGGCTGTAGCAGGGAGGGATGGTAAGGGCAGGAAGGGCTGAGCGACATCAAATAACGGTGGTACTGGCCTCCCTCCGCAAGGGTCCTGATGGGCAGTGAGTGTGCTTGAGTGCCGCAGGACGAGTCTGAAACCAAGTGTGTCCTTATCAGTCGCTGCAGATGGGGCAGGAAGATGGGGACCACTGGGATGGTGTGGGCTCATTTTCCTTATCAAGGGCTCTTTACTGAGCCGTCAGTGTCCCTGCACACTGATGTGCATTATTCTGAAAGAGATACTAGTAATTTTTCTCCACTGAAAAATATCTCTCTAGACAATATGATTAGACCTGGGGTGGGCTGGGAGGAGGGAGACCTGCAACTTGGCATGGTTTTTCTATCTTATGCGAAGAACACAAAATGACTTGGTTTTCAGCCATGTTTCTGTCAGGATCCTCTCTGTAATTTACAGATCATTTTCCTCTCTGCATCTTCCCTCCTTCACAGGCTGTAACACTGAAGCATTTCCTAGCCTTCCCTCCTTGCAGCAGGTCCTCAAATAACAACTCTGGGAGGGTGACAGACCCCTCGAGTTAAAACTCGGGCTTGTACATTTGCCAGTGCCCGTCTAGAGTAGCTCCATGGGGCGCCAACACCAGTGAAGAACTTTCCTCACAGGAACAAGAGTCTTGGCTTTCGTCTGGTTGTCTCTGGGATTTTAAGCGCTGACACAGAAGGAGGGACTGACTGCATCCCTGAGGAAGGGCCGTGGCTGCGGCAGGAGCTGTGCACAGATCGCTGCACAGCAAGACCTTGCTCCCAGTGGAGACAGTTACCGTTTGGGGGTGTCCATCTATGGTGGCCTGGCAGAGCTGTTCCAGGGCCTCGCGGTCCTGCATCAGCCCCAGCTGCTGCTCTGACACGATCTGTGCCGCTGTCTTCCCCTGGCCCTTCCACAGCTCCTCAAACACCTGCAGGTGGGGAGAGAGGAGAGGTGAGGACCTCCAGGTGCCTCTGTGCTGCTGCAGCACCAGGGAGGGAGTGGCAGAGTCAATCAGCACCTGGCCAAGTGGTCTGGCCCAGGGCGAAGCCGCCATCCCTCCCATAACCTTCCCCGAGGGCTAGGAGCATCTCCTTCACCAAAACCAAGTCTCTCCTGGGGCTGGCCGGCTCCTCCTGCAGGGCGGAGGGTGAGGACTCGGGCCGGCCAGGTGTCCCCATTTGATGACTCAAGCCAGGCAACCTTCCTCCTAGAGGGCTGGTGATGGATCTGTCTTGAGTCCACTAAATTAAGGAGGTGACATTTCCGAAGGGATAGGCCACACACACGCAGCAGCAGGGAGTTGCCCATGCACAGTCCAGAGCAGCCTGCTAGGAAGCAGGGCTGCGGGAGTCGCAGGCTCCGGCCTCCCTCCGTGTGCCCTGTTGGAAAGCAGAGCCCAGTCTGACTAGGATAATTAGTGTCAGTGCTTTGCTTATTTTCCTACTTAAATAACAACAGACCCCAAAAGAATGAAACTTGGGGAAAAGGCAAAAATTGTGGGAGGCATTGGCTGCTCGGGTTGTTTTTTACATCTAAGAGAGGATGCTGGGCCGTCTCGGTTTGACTCCTGCTCTCAGCTTGCAACCATAAGACATGGGGACACTTCCTGTCTCCATGGTGCCACTGTGCAGTACAGCCCCCCCCCCCCCGCCAGGAAAGACCATTCTTCAGTAACCAGCACACGTGTCAAAGCAAAGAGGAGGAGGTGCCCTGAGGAGGTACCGTCCCAGTGAGAACAGAGACCAAGCCAGGAACCTGTACTGTGACATAAGAGGCCAGACTCCTGTACTGATGGGAAAGGATGCCTGTGAGGTCAGTCCCACTTGGGAGTGTGTGTGGACACCTCTCTGGCCACCTCCACCTAGTCCTAGTGACCCAGGAAAAACAAATGTGAACCACAGACCTTCAAGTGACATAAGATATTCAGTGAAAGCATGGAACACAGATCTTCAAATCTTAATTCATAAGGAAATAACCCCGACCAGGAGAGAGCTGAGAGGGTTGGACAGTGGCACCCCTCTCTGTGTTTGAGTGTCTCCACTGAGCAAATCAGTCCGGAAGGGCTTTTCATGTGGTTTACCTGGGCGCAAGGCTGCTCAGAGCAAGTCTGGGAGCTATCCTGCCCTATCCATGATATATTTTTGCTTAATTAAGGCTATAGGAGCTGGGGGGAAGGCTCCGTGGGTACAGAGCTTGCTGTGTAAGTATGGGGGCCTAAGACTGGTCCCAGCTCTGGGCAGGTGGAGACAGGAGGCTCTTTGCTGGCCAGCCAGAAAGCTGCAGGTTCAGTGGGCTCCTTATCTCAAGAACTAAGGCAGAGAAAATAGAGGAATGTGTGTCCAGCCCTTCTATTACAGAAGTACTTATATGAATAAAGTTAATGTCTACCAGCTATATTTACCATGACTTGGTGAAATTAACCCTCATCCTTCAGGCCATCTGCACAGACTTCTGAAGTCCCTCGCTCAGGCATCCAGAATCAGAAGAGAAGGCAAGGCTCAAGCCAGCACAGCCCCACCTGCAGGGCTGTGCACAGACCTTGCAGGGCAGCCATTTCCTGGTAAGTAGGCAGAGCTGCTTAGCACACAGACAGAGGCACCCCTCCCAGCTCCTCACAACCCCTCCTGGATGGAAAGTGGGACCCTCTACGACAGGAACTTCTCAAGGCTCAGCTGCTGCTCTGGAGAAGGCTAGCAGTACAGAGTCACGTCCTGGAATGGCTGACGTGTCCTCTACCTCGGCGCTGGAACCCACTGCTGTCCTTTTCAAAGATTAGCGGCTTTGAAGCCCAGACCTAGCACTGGGCCTGATTCAGCTCTAGTTTCTAACTTTTGCTCCTTCCTATTTAAGCTCCTGGATGAGCCCTCAAGAAGGAAACCAGAGGGGCCTAGCCCTGCTGTCCCGGCCACCTGGCTTCGATGGCCCAGGCTCCCATTGCAGCATAGCCCTCAGCTACTGTCTGTGTCTGCTCACACTCTGAGAAGTGTTACCTCAGGTAATAAGTCACCAACAGCACGGGGAACACAAGCTGGGAAGCTCCAGTCACAGACACGAGCTAGGAGCCACAAGTGGGGCAGAAAAACCTGTGTTCCGGGGACTGAACCCAACCACAGGCTGGTCGCACCCAGACCCCTCACCTGCCATTGTCTGTCCTAGGCTTTTGAGTCAGGATAGAGAGAAAAGGCCTATTAAAGAGAGATGTCAGGGAAGGAAGGAATCATGTCCCTACAGAGAAGGGAACTGTTATGAAGGCCATTCCTGCAGGAAGTGATGAACCCAGCAGAAGCCTCCGGGGAGGCAGGGCAGGGGAGATGTACAGAGAATAGAAGCGCCTAGAGAGACTTCAGTGACGTGATAAGTCAGTGCATGGTACAACGTAACATTCCTACATCTGAAAAGCCCTGGTGCCTCTCTCTAAGGCCCATTCCAGCGTGCACAGAGGTTGGTTAAATGGCACTCTGAGTGTGCTGAACATGGCTTTCACCTCTGGACCTCATCTTGGTGGTGCTACAGCAGCTTTTTCTGGACAGTGCTCAGGAGACAAGGCTCCATCCACTTCCATAAAGAAGCTGCAAACATCTGCCATCGTTCCGTGAGCTGGAGCTTGACCAGCAGTTGGGACACAGCCTGGGCCTCCTTGGACTATATGCAAGTTAGCTGTAATGCTGATATTTCTGGAGTCTGTGTGTCCCAGTTGGCCCTGTCCTGCCACTTCAATACACAGACCTGGCTCCGGAAAGACCGACCGCAGGGTGCCTTTGTCCACAGTGGCCGGGAGGTTGTAGGCCTCAGAGCCCCGCTGGAGCACCTGGGAGGAGGATGCCGTGACCGGGAGAAGGACAGAACTAATTGGCGACAATGTCAGCAAGAGGCAGGCGGAGACTGAGGGCTTAATAACAAATTCCAACACAAAGAGGCCAGGATGAGTCTTCGTGCGCATCTTTTATCACCAGTTGGCCGTGCCGCTAACCTGATACATGCAGCCTGCGCATCTTTTATCACCAGTTGGCCGTGCCGCTAACCTGATACATGCAGCCTCTCCTGGGATCAGAGAGTTTGTGTTCTGTCACACAGTTTCTAAAGCCTGAAGTACGCTTTGTTGAACTCTTCTGCTCATGCATTAAAATGAATTACAACACAATTTTTCTTTTCATCTATTTAAAAAACATAAAAATAAGATGCAAAAAGATGTTTAACATAATTAGTCATTAGAGAAATCCATCTCTAGTGAGATACACTTCACATTCAGGAATGTGACTAGTGAGGATCACGTGTGGTGGAGATGCCTTTAATTCTAGCATTCAGGGGACGGAGGCAGGGGAGCTCTGTGAGCTGGAGGACTGTAGCGTCTATACAGTGAGCTACAATCACACAGGAGCACCTACTGCAGTTCCTAACTGCATCCTACAAACTTATTCCTACAGTGCTGTGTAGCTCTCAACTCTCGAGGATGCTTCTTTTTGTAGCAGACAGAGACCACTGCAGAAAACCACCTCTGGTCAGATACGAATCTAGCTGATTTGGGGGTGTTCAGCCCCCACTACATCTACAATACTACACTACATCTACATCTACATCTACATTTGGGGGTGTTCAGCCCCCACTACATCTACAACACAGCCCTCATACCGACGGCACAGGGACCAAAACGTCTGCTGTGAAACTGGATCTTCTGAAATGGTGGGGAAACCCCACCAGTGCGGCTGTGTAAACAAGACCATAACAGCAACACGAATACACATGCTATAACGGAAAAGGGAACCACACAGGTCCCTACCCTTAGACAGGAGCTACAGCAACTAGACTTCAGCTGTCACAGGGATGGGCCACTAAATGGTTAGCCAATACCAAGTCAGCCCTGAAAACACAAGCAGCTACTTTAAGGGACTCATCAGGGCTTTGTTAATTTACTTTTTGGTGTTCACACACACACACTTTCAAGACAGAATTTCTTTGTGTAGCTCTAGCTGTTCTAGAACTCACTTTGTTGACCAGGCTAGCCTTGAACTCAGAGATCCAACCACCTCTGCCTCCTCAGTGCTGGGATTAAAGGTGTGTGCCACCACATCTGGCGCGTGTGTGCACATTTATGTGCATATAAACAGCAGTAATAAAGAAAAGGAGGCCATGAATTTGAGAGTGGGGCATGGGTGGAAGTGTGGAAATAACATATATTTAAAAAACTTGGAAATACCACTTTTGGGAATATACCCAAAGGAAGTTCATTCCATACCATAAGGCGTATCAACTGTGATCATAGCAGCATTATTTGTCATAGCCAGAACCTAGAAACAACCTAAATGCCCCTCAACTGAAGAACTGGTAAAGAAAGCGTGGTACATTTGAGTACTACGCAGTACTAAAAAAAAACGGTATCTTGAAATTTGCAGGGTAGATCTAGAAAAAAAGACCATATTGAGTGAGGCAACCCAGATCCAGAAAGACAAATATAATATGAACTCACTGATAAGTGAGGACCCAGAGAGACATACATGGATCTACATAGGAAGGAGAAAAAGACAAGTGAGTAAATGGGAGCATGGAGGTCACAGGAGAGGGCAGAACAGGAAAGGGGCAAAACGGACAGGAACGGAGAAAATGCATAGCTCAGTAAAAACAATAAAAAACCTGGCACAGAATAAAATTATTCCCCTCAAGAAAAAAAAAACTTTCAAAAGTAAAAAGATTATCAAGTCCTGGCAAGAATGTGGAGTATCTAGAACTTTCTACTCTCTACAGAGGGTGCAGTCACTTGGGAGAACAGGATTCCAGGGACACCACTCCTATATCTACACCCACGACATTTGAGAACATGCTTATTAAAGAAGGAAGACATGAACTTCAAAGCTGTATCATTCATAAAATTGGAAACAGCCATCCATAAAATGTGGTGTATCTGTAAGATGGAATATTATTTAGCCATAAAATGAAGGCCGAGGAGAAGACTCAAGGGTAGAAACATTTGCTGTGCAAGGGTAAGGAGCTGAGTTCACACCCTCCACACCTGTGGAAAGACAAGGACGGCAGCGAGCATCTGCGACCTCAGTGACAGGGGGTGTCCACAGGGGAAGTCCCGGGAACTAGGCAGCAGCCTGCCTGGCACACACAGAGAACAAGAAGCCTGTCTCAAGGTAGAGAGCAAGAATTGACACCTGTTAATGTCCTTTGGCCTCCACATGTGTTCCACAGAATGCACACATGCTAAAATCACACAAATGTGCACTCACACACCATCACTGACTTTTACACAAGGTAAAAAAGTCCTCATAAACACTGCAATATGCATGGACTATTAATGCATATCAATATGTGATGGAAATCAGACAAAAAGGGCCACATGCTGTACGAGTCCTACACCAGAAGCCAACCACAGGCAAATCCAGAAACAGAAGACAGACTGGGAGAAATGTAAGGTAGGAAAGAACTCGTTTCTTTCAAGGTTTCTTTCTGAGGTGATGAAAGCTTCCGGGACAGAGAGTGGTGATGGCGTCTAACCTTGGGAACAGAGTAAACACTAAAGGATGTTTCAGGAGGCCGGCAACACTCACCTCACCCCCACAAAGGAGAGCTAAGGGACTGTGGGCTCTGCATGTTGAAGTGAAAATGATAGAAACCAGAGAGGGAGAACTAGAGGCCTTGTAAGATAGAGACGTGAAAGGGCTGAGAGAGAAAATGCCTGCCACCTGCTGCCTGGGCTCTCCAGCCAGGGTGGGGCATCTTCCCCTGCAGAGGTGAGGGTGGGGCAGGGAGGGTCTCAGCAAGGTTAGTAGAGGTGCAGGCAATCTTAGCTCCTGGCAGGTTTCACAAACACAGCCTTTAAGACTCTTGAAGTGTAACCCTAGATATGGCCAGCTCCCTTGCTGTGGAAAAGGGAGATGCAGGTTGCTGTAGTCAGGAGCGGTTGGAACACAGTCCATGAAAGGAGCTGTGTGTGAGAACACAAGACTCTTGTGGCCTCAGTTTCTTTAAAGCATGAAATTGTTCTTGGGATGTGTTTGTGCTCCTTCCAGGTGCAGTGGATTATTCAGTACAGCTGGCTACTGTTTGTGTATCTATGGAAAACGTGTTTCTGCCTGTCTGCTTGTCCCTGTGACTGCACACCTTACTCGGGTGACTCTTCTTACTCCACAGAGTACAAACTGTTCGATGCTCAGAATAAAGTTGCCTATTGCAATTAGATGTTAGTTTACCTCATTTTTAGGCCTGCACTCCCAGGTTAACACAGACAACTAAGCAGTAATCAAGACGTCGTCTGAGAGGGGACTTAGTGTGTGAACTGTGCTGCTCTGGACGTAAGGATCTCTGGGGCCTCACAGACCAGTGGTTCTCAACCTTCCTGATGCTGTGCTGACCCCAACCATAAAATTATTTCATTCCTACTTCATAACTGTAATGTAAATATCTGTGTTTTCCATTTGTCTAAGGTGACCCCTGTGGAATAGTCATTTGACCCCCCAAAGGGGTCAGGATCCACGGGTTGAAAACTACTGCTGTAGACAGTCCACTGTCCTGATGAGTGAGACTGGCCACATAGAATGACTTAAGGACCCCCCCCCCCCAAATATCTAAATAGCAGGGGACAAGTGTGATGACACAGAGAAGGCGAGGTGACACCCCCAAGAGCCGGGCAATCGAGTGTCTTACCAAGGCCAGGGAGTCTAGGGTTCACACCAGTGCCAGGTCTGAAGGTAGTCACTTATACATTTCTGCCACCCCTAAACAGGGTCCTCTACTGGCTCCTCTCACTAACGGGGTGGCCATGATCTACAGAGGCCCGAGGAACCATGCCTGCCAGAGCAGCTCCCCACACTGTGCTACTATGGCTGTTTCAGCTGTGTTCTGGGGAGAAAAGTCCTGACTGTCACCTCATCCTTGGCCACACAGTCAAGGGAGCCTCTGAGGGGAGGCTGGGTGGAACTTTCTTGTCCTTTCGGCACTCAAAGGGTTGGGGAAAGAGAAGCTCCAGCCACTTCCTTAACTCTAAGTACACCTAGTCAGTCCCCAGCCCACAGAGATCTTCCTTCTGGGCAGGCACCACCTCAGTAGCGGCCATCATACCTATCTGATTCCTACTGCTGATCACTTGTCTACCTGTGTAGTGCTGTTAGGACTGACTATGAGTGCAATGGTGGGTGTGTACGTGTATATGCATGCTATGGTGTGTGTGTATTCATGGTATGGTGCGTGTGTATGTGTGTATGCATGCTATGGTGTGTGTGTGTATGCATGTGATGGTGGGTATACATGTGTGTATGCATGCTATGGTGTTTGTGTGTAT